CCGAGATGCCACGGACCTGTAGGGTTCTTACAGCCAATCCCAATTCCTTCACAGCCCTTTGAAGTCGTCAGCATGGACTTCATACCAGAACTGCCAATGTCAAATGGATTCGATAACATTCTAGTGATCATTGATAAACTTACCAAATATGCAGTCATCATCCCCACAACCATTCAAGTCACCGAAGAAGAAACCGCCAGACTCTTCTTCAAACACGTTATCTCTAAGTTCGGAATTCTGCGCCAGGTAATTTCAGATAGAGATACAAGGTGGAGAGGCGATTTCTGGAAGGAGGTATGCCGATTGATGGGCATGCAACAGTCCCTGATGACGTCATACCATTGATCGAGATAACTGGAGCAGAATGCTCGACGCTCTTTCATTATCATATAATTCGTCCACGCATACGGCTACAGGTTTCAGCCCAGCCTACCTCCTATGAGGATTTCATCCACTCACCAGTACTAGTGTCGTAAGTCAGCCGTCAAGTATAGATCAGACAGGTATATCGAATTCAGGGTCCAATGATCAGGAGACGCTACATGACAAGGCACTTGATTTAGTAGAAGGATTTGTAGCAGAAAGAACTAGAGCCAGGGACGCACTTCTGCTCAGACAAATGTTTCAAAGGAAAGCCTACAACAAAGGAAGGCTGAATTGGGAATTTGAAGAAGGGGACAAGGTAGTAATAAATCGAAAAAATCTTGGTTTACTAAAAGACGAAAAAGGAAGAGGTGAGAAGCTTCTGGCAAAATACGACGGACCCTTCAAGATCTTGAAGAAGGTGAGTGCAGTAGCCTACCGACTTTGTATGCCCACATCCTACAGGATGCACCCCGTGTTAAACATTCAGCACTTGGAGAAGTATCAAGACTCACCTAGCGAATTTGGTAACTGAGCACAACTCGAAATGGGCAGGGCAAATTTTGATGCGCTACCGGAGTACAAAGTAGATCGAATAGTCGCAGAACGATCGAGAAAAGGAAGGAACGGTCAGAGGATTCCAATCTATCGCGTGCGATATACAAACTATGGACCTGAAGGTGATACTTGGGAAACAAGACAGAATCTGAAGAACGCACCTGAAGTCTTGGAGAAATGGGAGAAAATCAAGACGTTCCAAAAGAAGATGGCCAAGGGTCTTCAATAGGTGCATAGATAAATCCTATTTAAATGCATCGTTCTCGCTGTTTGTTCAACAACAGATCCATTCCCAACTTCTCACTGAAACAAGCTTCCAAAACCAATCACTACCCAATTCATTCATTCAATATGCAAAGCATCGAACTCTACCATCCCACCTCCGCCAACTTACACCTCACGCCATTCTCTAGCACTAATTCCTTAACCGACAATGTCAACCCCCTTAATTACCAGCTCACTACGGACGATTTCATCATCCTCATGCAGCCTGATGGTCAACTATTGTATACGCTCGATCCATCGACTACCGGCTCCCTTTTCTGGGCCCTACACCGCCTGGCACGATACATCACTAGGGCAGCATCTCACAACCTTCACAATGACCCAACTATCCCATTTGCATCCAAGGGATACATCCTGGAGGTTTACTTCGACCACATCAACATGAAATGTCCCGACATCTTGACGATTCAAGACCACCATTCCATCAATCTGCTTTGCAGATACACCACCAGAGAGAATCTCTCAGCGTGGTACACCGATTTTCAAGCAATCAGATGACTTGCCATTCAGTGGATCCAGGCAGCTCGGCAGCAGACACTTCAGCTGGGGCCTGGAACAGGATGGAACTGGGGCACACGTCACGGCATTCGTCTCGAGTACCCCGTGCATTGTCTTATCACTCAAGGCACCTTGGAAGACGAGGGAAGCGATGCTTGCTCTAACATCACTTGTCAAGGGTTGGATGGAGAGCTAAACGATTGGGAGGAGGAGGATTTTAACAAAGGAAACCTGGAGAGACACATCATCCTTCATCCCAGCAAGTCAGCCTACACCGCTCACTACCCTGACTTCAATCCTTTTGCTGGGGAACCACTCATCGATAACAGCTACGTCGACAGCAACATCAATTACCTCAACACTACATTTGTACCTTGCAACAAATATATGGAGGAGTAATTGGATGTCGAGGTCAGGGGGGGGTATGTTATAGTACCCTCATATATTCAGTACAATGTCTACTATTCCCTCTCACCCATTACTTACACTGATCTTATACCATTCTCTGTCACTTGTATATTAACTAAGTAGTGCATCTATACCCGATCCAACGCGCTTGTACTCATTCTATGTGACGTGTTTGTTTGGAGATACTTGGTAAATGAAGTATAAACAAACAAACACAGCTTTGGAACAAGTCACATTGTAACTACTGGAAGGTCTCAGAATGTTCCGATACCTTCTGTAGGGATCTAGAATTACAGAGAAGTGTACTTAAACAGGTCTGTAAGGATAGAATAAGATACTCTCTTTTACCCCTAGAACCTCGTGTGAACTTATTAAGACTAAGTCCAACTTGAACTACTAAGTACTTGATAAGGCCGCATGCTATCAACTACTTATATCTGAAGTGTTAATGTCTAAGTACTAGCATCTCTGATACAGGTTGTCTTGTCAACGGATAAGCGTACGCAACGTTAAATGTAGAATCTACGAACTCGTGTCCAAGATTCACATGACCCAAGGTATTCAATCACGCACTTGACTCAATCTTCCATCTCATCACAAATCAATATCCAGTAAGTCTTACTTACTATCTAAGTTGCTAACTTTTGTGTATTCACAGGAATACACCAATGTTCGAGTCGAGGAACTCTAACAGAGACTGCATGCACCATAGATTTGTTCAAACCACAAGGCAGTTTAGTGCCGTCTGTTATATTCAGACGATGTGCAAGAGATGTCCCCGAAGATGTTGATGTCCAGGATAAAATGTTGTGAGGCTGTTTGCCAAACATGTCGGAATCCGGAAGAGAGTAGAACACATCAGCTTCATCATATGAATTAATGTTGTGTAGGAATTCAGAAACGTGTTGGGGCTCAGGTGATGAGAGGGGGGTGAGGAAGTTGCAGCAGATTGAATTTTTAGTATGGAAAAGTAGTTTGGGGAAATAATACTCACCAGTTTGGTTGATGATATCCCAGTGTCCACCTTTGTGAGGGTTCAACTGTGTTTACTGTCATGCAACCCACAAGTCTGACAAGCTGAGGTGTGATGACCCACTAGGGAAGGAGTCAATCACTGTACTGGAGTGGTTGGTCAAGAACACATATTGATGCCTATGTCAACCATAGAATCAACCATAGAATCAATAACTGTTTGCCCTTGTTAAGTCAACCTTTCTGAGGTGTCCAAACTCTCCAATCAGCACTAATCACCTAGAACAGGAGTAGAGGTCTGTTAGTACAGAGTTCTCAGATCATGAAGGATAGGTAGATGGTGGTAAAAAGATGATATTGATCAGCTGTTGAAGCATGTCAAGTAAGTACAATGTGAGAAAGTATGACAAAGATAATAGGTAGGTTGCAAGTAGAAAGTGTCATGTAAACTAGAAGGGATGAGGGAGCTAGGTGAGTGAACATCCATGGTACATTACACATGGCCTTCACTAACATTTGCCCACTTCTCAACCAGCAGCTTTGCAATGGCCATATGGCCTCCATCTAATGCAGCCTACACTGCATTTCTATAATATTCTCCCTGTGTATTTACATGTGCCTCCTTCTCAATCAGCAGCTTTGCAATGGCCTCATGGCCTTCACTTGATGCTGCCTGGAGTGCATTTCCATAATATCCTCCCTGTGCATTTACATCTGCCCCCTTCTCAATCAGCAGCTTTGCACTGGCCTCATGGCCTTCACTTGATGCTGCCTGGAGTGCATTTCCATAATATCCTCCCTGTGCATTTACATCTGCCCCCTTCTCAATCAGCAGCTTTGCGATGGCCTCATGGCCTCCATTTGATGCTGCCTGGAGTGCATTTCCATACAGTCCTCCCTGTGCATTTACATCTGCCCCCTTCTCAATCAGCAGCTTTGCACTGGCCTCATGGCCTTCACTTGATGCTGCCTGGAGTGCATTTCCATAATATCCTCCCTGTGCATTTACATCTGCCCCCTTCTCAATCAGCAGCTTTGCAATGGCCTCATGGCCTCCATTTGATGCTGCCTGGAGTGCATTTCCATAATATCCTCCCTGTGCATTTACATCTGCCCCCTTCTCAATCAGCAGCTTTGCAATGGCCTCATGGCCTTTCTTTGATGCTGCATAAAGTGCATTTCTATTATATCCTCCCTGTGCATTTACATCTGCCCCCTTCTCAATCAGCAGCTTTGCACTGGCCTCATGGCCTTCACTTGATGCTGCCTGGAGTGCATTTCCATAATATCCTCCCTGTGCATTTACATCTGCCCCCTTCTCAATCAGCAGCTTTGCAATGGCCTCATGGCCTTTCTTTGATGCTGCATAAAGTGCATTTCCATAATATCCTCCCTGTGCATTTACATCTGCCCCCTTCTCAATCAGCAGCTTTGCACTGGCCTCATGGCCTTCACTTGATGCTGCCTGGAGTGCATTTCCATAATATCCTCCCTGTGCATTTACATCTGCCCCCATTCTCAATCAAAGCATCTGATACTTCACTCAATCCTGCAATTGATGCATAATATAGGGGTTTAGCAATCTGAACCCTTTCTTTTTGTAGCTTGCATTGATTAAAGTCATCTATATCACAAAGTCGAACCCAGTTCACAAAAGCAGTGTTTTCCTCCATCAGAAGCTTCATCATCAAAGCAAATACTAGAGATGACTGAGATTTAATCTTGGTACCAGATTGTGCATGTATAATCCAATGTTGGGCAGCATACCCTGCAAGAGGGAAGGATATATGCACATTCATATCAAGTGGCTCAGATGTATGGAATTGCAGAAGATAGGCCAGACAGATTTGAGATATAACAGAGTGTGACAGCTCTCCACTGAAGCTGAAGTCTCTGATTTGCTTGACAGTGTGATTTTGAACATACTGAGATATTAGATATTCCTTCACAGAAAAGTGGGAAAGCTTGATAAAACCTATTTGATAGTCAGCACTTATTTCAATCTGATAATATTCTGAACCATACCTCCTGATTTTATAGTAAAACTAGAACATATTTTCAAGACATCATTGATATCTTGAAGTTCATTGTCAGATTTATACTCTGGTCCATCCTCAGCAGAAAGATCAACAGCAACAGTTGTAGCCAGCTCCTCCAGTGTCAGTGGACGAGCAGCAAAAGACAGCCACTGTAAAAATGTTTTTACATAACCATGATCTCTCTCCTTGATTCCCAGCAAGATTTGATCATAAGTTTTATCCAAACCCCGAGGTAGATCAGCTAGCTGCTTTTTTAGATCAGCTTTGGTTCGGCACTCTTTAAGCTGATTTAGCTGCAATGCAGCCCAACGAAACCTAAAATTGCATTTAGTAATCATTCTGTCATTCAAATGTTGATAATATACATACATTCCATCTGCTTGTTCCATTAATGTCGACTTAATTTGCTCTTGCATGTCAGAATTCCATTTTTTCAAGTCAGAGTTATTCTGAAGCTGATAGTCAAGATAGGTTACAAGATCATGATTCCCAGATGCCTCAACCAAGTCAAGATAATGATAAGACTTGAACTTGTCCTCAATCTCCTGTTCTGGGCGACTAGTAACTATCAAGTGAAGCCCCAGATTAATATCTTTCTCCAGATTCTCTGGGATAACAGTCTCAATCCAGTTTAGAAGTTTTTCTCTTTCAGTACATTCATCAAGAGCATCCAGAATTATGAATATTGAACTAAAGCCACCAAGCATTGCTAGAAGAGTATTCTGCAGATCATCCAGAGTTGGCTCTCGATGGCCATTGCCACAGTGAGAATGCAGATTTACCAAGACTTTAGGCACTCCACCCTCACATTTGAGAGAGAATTGCCAGATAAGTGATCGCATCAGTTTATCACATAGCTGGAAATCCTTCTGTGAGTCTCTTCCATCAAAAAAGAAATATGCTGTGGCAGAATTGAAGCTTTGAAGAATATTGTCAACTATTGCTGAGCTGTGAGAAGAAAAATCAAATCAAATGCATAAAAATGTTAAGTTTTTAACCTCAAAATAGTTTTCCCAGAGCCAGCTGGAAAGACTGTCAATAACATATAAATTTACAAATTTTGATGGAAAACTTACATTTTCCTTTGATCCAGAGAAAGCCAGGCTGTTTGAGCCACCCAGAAAATGTGTTACCTTTGAGAAACCATTGACAGGTACCTGATTGACTCTCCAGCATTCCATGTGCAGCATTGTAGTTAATAGATTCCTTGGGTGGAGAAAGCCACTTATAAATCTTCTCAACTATAACAAAAAAATGGGGTCAATTATATATTTGAAATAAGAAACCTAGAATAATACCCAGTTGTTGATCCATAATCATCTCAAGTGAGATTTGAATATTTGGGTCCACACCCACAACTACAAATAACATTGAGATGGATATGATGCTTCTCCTACTACTTACCTTGATTGATGGTACCTATTGAAATATAAGTGAGAACAACAAAATCTGATGACCCAAATTCAACAGACCATAGTTAGAGCCTGTGTTCACATTTTGAGCAGCTGAAATGATATTCATAGTCTCTGCATAATCTTCAGATTTGAGCTAGACTATATTGATCAGAGTACTGACCAGCAGGCATTACTTCTGCACTCAGAGCAGAAGGAATGGGTTGAGAGGTAGGCAAGCCAGAGCTTAGAGGATCTATACAAAGTTATCAGAATTAGCCTTGAAAGATTTGGAGTAAGCATGAACCAGTCAAAATAGGAGAAGGGTCATGCAAGATATCAACCACTTCTTCCACAGGACCTTCAACCTGATTAACTATGAGATTGGCATTGATGAAGGTCAATATCAACTTTATAGCAAACCGATTGAGGGGTATCTCACAAGCCATTTCAGTGTCGGCTGACACAAGACCAACATTCAGAACAGGAGTGATTGCGGGAGAGGTAGGCAGGAGGGGATCTATATCAGTGTTACCAATGACGAATGATAGAGGTTTGGGGGTAATGCAGACCAGTGGAAGCAGGTAACACTTGTTGCACGCACTCAACCACTCCACCCCCAGAGACGTCAACCTGATCACCTGCAAATTTGATTCAATGAGCAATCAATGACTTTGGGGCAGGATGATTAAAATGTATCTTACCGGCGACTGGCATGGCTATGTTCGCCGTGCGGACGGTCGAAGATGGAGTCATCAAGATAGGCGGGTCAGAGCTGAGGCGAGCTAGATCATCGCTAGCGATGTCCCCGGGTTGAGCCATCGGTGAGCGTGATCTCATAAATGCTTTCTTCAGTCTAGCAAACGGTTTGAGGATAGGGCGATTGGTTGGAATAGACATCGTTAGACGACAAGATGGAAGTTGAGAGGAAGATGTGTAGGGTGTGGCTGTGCGAAAAAGACAACTCCGCTTTCCCAGAGCGTTTCCATCTGTGGACCACCAAAACACGTCTTGTTCTTCCAACAAGAGAGATGCGCTGCGACCCACTTATGGGCCCTCCTACTTGTGAAATCGTTGGTGTCAGGTCGATGTTGTCTTTGTTCGGCCAGCTTCGATGGACCCATAGACTCAACTCCGCCGCGAACCCCCCTCGTCGAAGGGGGCTTCACTCTTTACGCCGTTCAGCCATTGCCGACATCGCCTGGAGATTTTTTCTCGACCTCCCACTGCAATCAAAACGAAACTCGATGGCTGCTTTCGTCAACATGCACCGATGTAGAGAGAGCGAGGAGTCGTTGGGATTCGAAGAGTTTACTCATGGGCGAGTGCATCAGCTCTGAGTGAGTTCCCCTCCTTTCTACCTTACCTCATTTTCCTTCTCTGTGCCGCAGCCAAATCTCCTCCCCCCCCTCCCCTCTTCTTCGCCGTACCCACGTTAGTCTAACATACTGATAATTCTTCAACAGTTCCGGTCCTCTTTACTTCCTTTACGAAGCCATGCTCATAAAGCGTGCAAGGCCGCAAGCACAAGTTTCTACTGGTACGGCAATTGAAATCTTGAAATTGGGAAGATTACTGGATGCTTACAGTATAGACAGGATTGGAATCGACCTTTTCTTTTGGCTCCAAGTCCATCTTTGGACTCCCACCTGGCCACCCACTCGAAGCCACCGTTGCATATGACAGAAGAGGCTTCGTTAGCTCCTGTCGATCGTCAGTTTTTCTTTCCTCCAAGTCGACAACGTGTCCCGAAACGGCCTTTCCACTGCAGACGTGGCTGCTCGACGCCAATACGCCCTCGAAAAGCTCAGTACACAATGCTAGGTCATCATCAACGCAAGCCTCAGCTGGGGAGTAGGGATAACGGCTACCTCCATGGTAAGTTGCTGCCCTTACGTTACTCATTCATTCGTACCCTTCTCCCTTCCTCGACCTCTCAATTCCTTATCACATCGCATATATTCGATCTTTGCCTCGCTAACTGCCCTCGCTCGTTACTCAGGTCCTGGTTTCATAACACCAACGCAAGCCCCACTTCGACGTCTTTCTAAGGACCACCACGACGCGACCACTCGCATCCCTTCGTGCATCGACTCACAAAGGAAATTTTGCTATGGGTCAATTCATTCAACGAACTCGCCTCCATACCGAGTCTCAGATCTTTGCCAGTAGCCGCAGGCAGATCTCTCACATCGTTCACCTGATCGGTTGCGCCCACCTCTGTGGTTCTTCGCCCATTCTCCTCTCCCAAAGCTCGCTCAGTGCTCAGAACTTCTCAGTTACTTCATTCCCGACGGTATAGGTGTCGTTACATATCCGACATACGTATCCATCCGCACTTAACAGTTCTCTGACAACCGCGGGCTGGCCATCGAGGTTCGTGTCTCGCAGCAGGGGGTCAAGGCGAATTGGGTGCGAATCGAGTTGAGGAAGGTAGAGAAGATGCCGTGGACAGGCCAACACATATTACAACTTCGTTGGACAGTGCGCAGTGAATCTGGAATCCTTAGAAGAATACACCCTACTACGTTCGGTGCGTACCGTCCTCTTGGATCATATCCGTTTTCTAACATTTCTTGCATCAAGATTTCCCATGTTCGATTCGGATACCTGAATCTATTCCGCCCAGCATCGCATTGGAGAATCGAAGTGGGCAGGCTCCACGTTTGATGATCCATTTTTGCTAAAATTTTCTTCTGTAACTGGCATCAATTATGAGCTGGTGGTCAGTCGATACACCAAACACCTCGCGCTCTTTTCATATGCTCATACCAATCCGGAAGATTTCTTCGAAAAGCCAAATCGGTGGTTTTCTCCACCCAGGCGACCATCATCATCGATAAACATAAGCTACACTCTACTTGGCCCGTCTACTGCCAACCCCCGACCCGGCACCTTTCTCAAGAGGGCGTCAACTTCCTTGTCCAGCGCAACCATACCTGCTACGGGCCTAGTGATCGTATCTCCGTCAATGCCACTGTCAAATCCTACAGTTTACATACCATCATTCTCCGAGGGTTTGAAATTTCGTTCAAGGAATCGACTGTCTTCCGCGCGGGGTTATATGACCAAGGAAAGAAAGCCGCTCCACAAGTCAGCGTGGTTAACGTATGCGAGAACAAACTTGTCGTGAATGCGATGTCATATGGTGGTACACAACATCAAGCGGAACTGTGGTGCATGTATCTGCCGAAGATATCAGGTAATTAATCAGAAACTTTGTCGATTCTGAGGTCAGCCTAACGTATATGTAGGCGTAATGGACCAGCCCCCAGTCTCTCTCTTCCCGTGTCGAATACACCGACTTCACAACAGTTGGCATCTACTAGAGAGCCTCCACCCAGAATATCACCGCCAGCTCTATCGGGAGCAGGTGTTTTCCCAATCGGGCATTCTCACAATAATTCTACTACTGGACCCTGGTGCTGCAAATTCTTATTCTACCTTCCCACGTCAGCGTCGTCCACCGCAAAGCTACCAGCCGATGAACTGGGCTATGAAGCTGGGTACGGCATCAAGCCCCCATATGCCACACATCAGCCAACGAAGAGCAATACCCTCAATGATGAATTCCCGCCTGTCCGTCCAACGCCCACGATCAACACCAACCTCAAACCCATCACACCGCCCCCTGCAACGTTAGCGGCGACCACGAATGGTAGGACAACGGGAGTGAGAAACAGGCCTCGTTCAGCGGGTGGTCCAGGTGGCGGCATTAGGTCCACCATCATGATGCCCATTCTACCGAAATTCCAGATGACCGTGCACCAGCTACGAACAAGAATGGGCTCTCCGCATAGGAAGAAAAGGCGCAAATATTTGAGAAGGCTAGAAAGCGAGTGAAGTTGACGCAAGGTGCTCATGCTGCTCCAGTAAGTTGCTATTCGACATATGGAAATGTAATCTCTTCTACTGATATATGCCTCTCAGCCTCCTGCATCTGCATCCCCACCTCCTACATCCCAGACATCGCCTCCCCAGGCTGCAGCTGGCAGCGGCACCGGCCGCCAATCCTGCTAATTGGCTTTCAGCTGAAGATGAAGATTTATTGTACCAGAAAGCTTCAAATACAGTGCAAATGACTCAAGAAGTTTGGCCGCCTTTGCAGTACTCCGATCCCAATAAGAGTGTTCCGGAGGCACCACTACTAAGCCGCCTTCAGCAGCAGCAGTCACGTATGCCCAAGCTATCTCTGCTCGAAACAATAAGGCAGATGCTTTGCAAAAGCAGGCATTCAGAACGGCCTCACCCCCTCCAGCTCAAGTACCCATTCCCGCCGTTGCCAAGGTATTGCTCCCACTGCCAAAGTACCCGTTGTTGCACAAGGATCAGCTCCTTCTCAGACGCTTTCTGCTGTTCCTCCCGCACAAACACCAGCTTCACTTTTAGCTTCGTTCAAACCTACCATTGCTTTCATCTCCTTCTACCCCTTCACGTCCATCGTCGAACTGCTCACACAGACCTTGAACCCACCATGTGTGATCGGCACCTGTATCAGCCCACCCACAGATTCCAGCGGACCTGCCTCATCAGTCCCGCCGTCGATGACGGAAAATTCTGCACCAGGACGACAGAAGGGTTTATGGTTCTTCCAATCAGCTTTCTGGCAGTCTTTGCTGCAGTAGGAGGGTCTCTTGCCAATGTTGCATTTTCCTGAACCTACTACCTTTTGTTAGAACAGGCTCGGAGGGAGGAAAAAGAGAGAAGATGTACACCTGGATAGCATCTTCCTTGCTCCGATACCACACCCCACCCCTGCACACCGGTATTTTGTGGGGTACCCAGCCTCTTTGCCTGCATCTTCTCCCTCTCTTCCGCAACCTGCTTGTTTCTATCCTCGTAACTGTCAATCGCGTCTCTATAGAGCAAACACGGCTCTGGCCTGTTTTTCGCTTTGCGTTCCAGGAGGTGATGCACAAACCAATGCTTGGACGTACCGACTCCGCAAGTCGGTTCGCGAAGAATAGACGTGCCAATATATGAGTGCCCCGTGGGCGGTTGCTTTGGTTCTGTCCGAGGCGGTGGGGGAAAGGATGGATTTGATGAGGTAGACGCGGGATTTGGCGCGGTCCCGGGCGCAACAGACTTACTGAGAGTCTGTTGTCAAGGGATGAGTGGTTGTCATTAGGAGCAAAGAGGGGAAGATGACTCACCTCAACCCACAATCCAATGCAGCATCTGCATCCCCCGGATCTCTGTCAGCGTTGACCTTCCCCTCAGGTCTCTCATCAAGCACCTTCAAGATAACTTGCAGCTCCCTCTTCACCTGTGGCATAAACGACTTTGAATCCAGGGCCAGGTGGACGCGAATTTGTCCATGTCTCGATATACCTCAATGCAAGATTGACCTTCTTGACTTCATCTGATTCGTCGCTCAACTGTGACCGACGCCGGGGCGACATCTTTGGGGTCAAGCTTAAAGTTCCAGAACGTGAACAGCTGTGGTGTCGTGATAGCCGCGGCCGCAGTACCTGTATACCCAGCAGCTGTCTTGGGGTCGGCGAAGAGGCATGTGAAGGCTTGTTGCATGATACGGTCTGGGTTTGGAGAGCGTGATCGTGCATAGCTCGAGAGGGCGAACACCGATCCGCTTGAGCTCGTCGCTGACGGCGGATGCTGGGTCCTTCTCTTCGGTTGTCAACTTCCATGGTGCGAACGTGGCTGTCGTGGTTTGCCCATGGTTATAGCGTCCGGCCCCTTCGCTTGGCCATGGACGTCCTGGCTTGGTGCTCTACTACTACTTAGTAGTACATCCATCACGACATTGTTCTCCATTCCTGTCTTTTTTATCCCCCATCTGCTATTTGCGAACTCCAAGCCCTTCAGTGAACAAGCTAAGTAGGAGCTTAGAGATTCACATATGTACAACGATGGGCTGGTGTAATTGGTAACATAGCTAGTTAGCTGCTAGCGGTTCTGGATTCGATTCCCAGGCTCGTCATCTGAATAGTGCTAGTGGGTATGTTTTCCATTTACACCCAATGCCGAGTTGAGATAATTGTACGTCCGTTGAACGCGAACGGACTGTTGTACTTAGAACTGGCAGTCTGGCTGTAAGAGTGTGCCAAACAACCTTGCGGCGGAGGCAAAAACGGTGGTAGCCCAATTGCAACATCTCGAGATACGTAGCGAAGAATTAGATGTCGGCCCGGTCGCCCAGCAGCATCTGGCTCATCCTCATCAATTAATTGGAGTGGGGTCTCGCCTCCTCCCACAGCACCGCTTGGTGCTGGAGAGGCCATCTCGATCCGCGGCCCTTGCTGGAGTTGAGATTGCCAATATCAGGACGGTTCAGTCAGAGGGCTCCCAAGTTGGTGCGTCGTGAGTCCTGACCAAGGCATGCGCACAAAATGGATAGCTAAACTAAGTAAACCAGGCCAAGGGACCCACTACCCGCTAGGTGTAAATGTACTCGAGTACTAAACTACTCAAGGAAACGAGGCGAACACGGTACGAACTCAAGCTAATTGTACACGATGAGAGATTCAAAAATACCAAGAAAGAAAAGGCAGATAGGTATCAGCAATCCATCCGGATAACCGTAACCTTACAAGTCCAATGCCCTCCACCTAAATCGTCATCATCTCCACAGTAGTCCCCTCCAAAAAACCCCTCGACTCAATCGGAATATTCACACCCGACCCCTCCATAATCCCTCACCTCCTTTAAAGTCTTCGCATCCATAGTCGAGCTACCCACAAACGTCCTCGACCCACCCCCCGCATGCGTAATCGGCAGTTGCAGCGCCCCGCGCGATGGTCTAGGTGGACCTGGTGCGTCCCACGTCCCGTCATCGATGACGGAACATTCCGCACCGGGACTACAAAAGGGTTTATGGTTCTTCCAGTCGGCTTTTTGGCATTCTTTACTGCAGTAGGAGGGTTTTTTGTCAGAGTCGCATTTTCCTGAACCTTTTGAAAAATTTCCGCGTTAGAGAGGGGGAATAGAGAGAGAGAGAGTAAGGCTTACACCTCGACAACATCTTTCCCGAATCAGCCTCAACACCACACCCAACAGCTGCACAACGATACCTCATGGGGTTCTTCAACCTCTTCAACGGCATCTTCTCCTTCTGCCCCTCAATCTGCCTATTCCTAGCTTCATACACGTCCTGCGCGTCTTTATAAAACAAATACATCTCGGGTGCCCCTTTCGCCATACGCTCGAATATGTGCTTCATGAACCACAGCACGGCAGGGGACGCGGGGGTTTTGAGGGAGTTGTTGATCTTGCGGCAGAGGCGCGCGGCGATGTTGGCGTGGTGGCATGCGGCGAAAAGGTACCGGCTCCGAAAGTCGGATTTGGAGGAGGAGACGTACCAGTTTAGGAGTGCGCCGTGAGCGGTTGCTTTGGTTTCGTCGGAGGCGGTGGGGGAGAGGATGGCTTTGATGAGGTAGACGCGGGATTTGGTGCGGTTGCGTGTACAGCCTAGACCTAGTGAGAGTCTGAAATGGTTACCGATGTGAGGTTGTTGATGTGGAGGAAGGATAGGAAAGAACTTGCCTTACTCCATAATCCAATGCAGCATCTGCGTCTCCTGCATCCGCATCAGCTTGAACTACCCCCTCAGGTCTCTCCTCGAGCATCTTCAGAAGGACCTGCATCTCCGGCCCAATCTCGCCATCACCGACTTTGTATCCAGCTCATTTGGGTCGGGCGGACGCGCATTCATAAGGGTTTGGAGATACTTCAATGGAAGTTGGAACTTTTCGACTTTTTCAAGCTCATCTGGATCACCCAACTCGGCTGGAGTCCTCAAGTCCTTCAAGGGATCGAGCTTGAAGTTCCAGAAAATGAAGGGCTGGGGTGTCTTGATAGAAGCAGCCGCGATGCCAGTGTACCCAGCGGCCGTTTTGAGGGTAGCAAAGAGGCGGGTGAAGGCTTCTTGCATTATAAAGTTTGTCTGGGGTTTAGAGAGCCCGATGTTGCATAGCTCAAGCGGACGAATGCCAATCCGCTTGAGTTCGTCGCTGACCGCAGATGCCAGATCCTTATCTTCAGTCGTCAACTTCCACGGGGAAAACGCAGGTGGGGCGTTGGGGATCGCGGATTGTCCGAGTTTATTGACAAAGGCATGGAGGAGGACTTTGGCTACCTCTGGCGCAGCTTCTTTGCCAGATTCGGGAAAGTATTCTAGGCCACTCTGGTTCGCGGGTAGGCCGATGGGAAGGTGTTCGATGTGGATGAACTGAGATTGGGGTTGGATGAGAGCGATGATGTGGGATGGGGTTGGCTCGAGCTGGATGTACCGCAAGTCAAAGTGCCATTCGTTGGGCACTCGTCCGGAAGGTGCCCTCTCTTTGCGAGGAAGGGCGTTGAATGACTTGACCAGGTTAGAAGACATCTGGCGGTTCAACCGTAGGCTCGTGGGTCGTGACCAGCCATTTATACACCCCGCGTATTTGATGTTATTGTGGTTGGCCAGATCAGGGCCAGACTGCCGTCGGACTCCTGAGTCTAACCTTGAGTCTAATCCCGTCGCCTCGCATACGGATCCACATCCTCTTCCTCCTGGCTTTCCTCCCCATCAACCTGATCCTTGAAAGAAGACCCTCGAGACCCGACTAACCCCGGCTGTGAGACAGATAATAACTACTCCCCCGCCTCCTCTGCGACGGCGAGGACGAGGCAAAACATACGGAACGCTGCCTGGAACGGGTTAAAAAAACGAAGGAAGTATGGGATGCCCACTCGCACCTCCGTAAATGACATTGTTTTTTACATGTCGTTCCGGCTTTCTGTCGCTTTCGTCACATTAATACACGCAGGTTGATTCCAATGGTCATTTGGGATGAGGCCAAATTGGACCTTAACGTCTGTGCTAAGTTATCTGGGAATCCTTCGAGAACGAGGATATGCAAACTCTGGGATAGGTGGCGTCGAAAAGGCGGTCCGGTTACACTTCCAGGGTTCATCTGCGGAGCGCCTGCTAGCCTCTTGGCGGGCCGGTACGGAACCAAAAAACCTCCCTGATACTAGTGTTCTTGAGCACGGGAAGAACAAGAGGAAGTCTTTGCGAACTCACCGGTCCTAGAATGGATAGTTACTCTCGTCAGAGATTGCCGCATGGCCATCCGAGGACTCGGAATCATAGTTTGAGCAGGCAGCTAAAACAAGTGTGTGGATCCTTTCGTCACGTCCAAACACGAGTTGCGGCTTCACGATTGATGACGCAATGAAAACGGGAGGTCGACGTCGAAGCCGACAAGGACGCGAGATTGATTCCAAGACACTGGGCGCCCTAAAATCTTACTGTCATAATTAGTTGAGGAGGGATACATAGTTAGAAACCCACCTAACAAGCTGCAACAGATCTCCCGAATCCTCAATGAGGTGATTGGACGGTGAAGTCTGTTGCGACCCCAGCAACCACCGAAAACAACACGGGGGTACGTGTTCCCCACACCTGTCCTTGTTGGTCTGGGCTTGCTACAAGTGACCTCGGCTTCGCACCAGGTTTCTCATAGAAAATCACAGCACCACTTGGGGGAAGGATGGGCCCATGCCACTCTAGATTGGAATCAAGAAGTCAATGTAAGGTTTAATCGGTATTTTCCAGTCATACCCAGATGCCTTGAGGTTGGTCATGACACGACTACTGCGCGTTGAACGTTGAACGTTGCTCCATATGAATTTCAGAAATCCCTTTAGATGCAAGCTGAACTTGAATAAAGATCAGTGCAGGAAAGAGCGTGCTTCGAGAATGGTGGATGGCGAGCACAGACATACAATCTAATGGGGCTAAGAACTCGGATACGATGATCGGAATCCTCAAGGTTTTGCGTTCAATGTGCTGGGTGTCAAAAGAAAGCAAAACAACGAAAAGAAATAAAATAGAAAGAATTTGCCCAGATATTCCCAACACCATATTGTGTCGAAATTTTTTTCCATGAAGATGGCTTGGGTGCTTTTAGAGGTAAGACTGTCGGGGGTTGGCCAAAATTTTCGTTGCGCGCTTCGCGCGCAGATGAACAAGCCTGGCGGTAACACAATAACACTAATATAACTGAATTGTCTTGAAGGTTTCCCTTAGAACTTTTCTATAAGCTCAAGGCGTCTCCTCTCTGAGTTACATTTTTTTTTTAAGTCAAGAACTGTCTGAGAAGAAATTATAGCTTACACCTGTTAATATGTACATGCCAAAATTCAGCAACAGAAGTATTGTACCCGTTGAGAAATATGTAAACTACAAAATCCCGGGCTTTGCCAGGCAGATAACTGGCAGATAAATACCTAGCACAATGATTGGTAAGTGCTTGCATTGCCGTTTGCACGGCCATGGTGCCATGTCTGGAACCAATTTTAAAAAGAATCAAAAATCAAAAACTCCATATCTTGTGCACTATAAATTATGTTATTTAAAAGAGTGGCTTAGCTCAACGGAAAGATCTGATTAAGACTGGTAATGTATGGCAATATCTCCGGTTCAATTGCTGCAGGCTGCAATGTCTTTTCTCGGGAATATATTTGCTCTGACTTCTTTTTACTCTCCTATTTGCATTTTTATGCACCAAAAATCTCACACCACCACTTAGAAATTTATAAACACCAGAAAGTATGGATATAACTCAAACCAATAGATTGGGAAAGAATTCATGAGAATTGATATTTTCCCCTTCCACCTCTTCCTGCACATGCATACATCTGATCCTCTCTTGCAGAATCAATGCAGACCATGCACCTCCTTTTTCTTGAAGTAGAACTGGATAATCCTAGTTGTGCTTTCTACTGTAAAAATTTACCTTGTGCATTTTGGCCAAAAGAAATAGGAGAAATTCTCTGCTGAAGGCTCCTCTGGGTGTAAACTTAGAGGTTTTACCCAACATATATAACCATGCCTGAGGACATGGATGCCAAGGAAACTGATGCAATACCTGTTGCTGAGAGTGCAGACATATTTACTTTGATCCAAATTTTCTTTCCCCAGGGCTGTTAGTGATGTTGATTTCCCATGCTCTCATTATAAATGTATAAAAATGATTCAAGAACTCTGCAGCATAGCTTGGTGCTTGAATCCTCTGCTAGATTTTCCTCCTTTTATCTATTCATTTTGCCACTTTTTTTAGTTGATTTATGGTAAAAAATTCAAAGTGCTCATGCATTTTATAAAAAAATTTCTTACAATTGGCCTTTCCTGATAACCAGGGAGCCATAGCTTCGAAATTAGGATCCTGAGTAGGTGAGAACCAGACACCATGGAGGGATACAGATGTTTCTTCCATTTAATTTTTATTTGTGATCTGACATCTCCTGCCTTGTGCTCTTCCTCAACATGAGTACCTCTGCAATGGTCTAATTTTTTAGTGCTACTTTGCATGTTCAACAACAGAAATTGGTGCAGTAACAAGCAAGATACATGTTGAGTGTGCAGAATTAGTATTACTAATCGTGTGACCCAAGCAAGATGTCATACGTAAAAGATGCCTAATTCGTTCACAATAAGCCGGATATAGACATAAATTCTGAAATGGAAGGTAGGGTCTGATGGAACTACCGCTTTGAGAATTATGTCCAAATCAGGCATCTTTTTGGTTCCAGACATGGCACCATGGCCGTTTGCACACCGAAATCGCGAAAATTATGTTTGGTTTTGTATGTTCGTCACAGATTGTCATGCATCAGGACGAGATCTGAGCACTTTGGGAATTTTGTCACTACTGGCTACCACTTTTATCATATAAATAAGGTAACTGCCTAGAGGTCATTGTGTATAAGTCCACAGTCTTTATGATAGGGAATCATTCCAGTTGCCATGTCTTTTCATTATCATAAAGCCTGCGCTTTTTTTCATTAATTGTAGGCAAGGCCTTAGACCTCCATCTCATTATGTACCTGGTCAATATCATTGCGATTTTCATTAGCCACTTGGGCAATATCATTGGAAATTTCATTAGCTACTTGACTGATATCATTGCAATTTTCATTAGCCATTTGGAAGTTATCATTGGGAATTTCATTAGGCACCTGGGCAATATCATTGCGAATTTCATTAGCTATGGGCAATATCATTGCAATTTTCATTAGCTTAGTTGGGCAATATCATTGGAAATTTCATTAGCTACTTGACTGATATCATTGCAATTTTCATTAACTATTTGGGAATTATCATTGGAAATTTCATTAGCTGCCTTGGCAATATCATTGTGATTTTCATTAGCCTCTTAGGCTATATCATTGGGAATTTCATTAGGAACCTGGGCAATATCATTGCGATTTTCATTAGCTATTTGGGAATTATCATTGGAAATTTCATTAGCCTCTTGGGCAATATCATTGGAAATTTCATTAGCCACCTTGACAATATCATTGCAATTTTCATTAGCCTTTGGGCAATATCATTGGGAATTTCATTAGGCACCTGGGCAATATCATTGCGATATTCATTAGCTATGGGCAATATCATTGCAATTTTCATTAGCTTAGTTGGGCAATATCATTGGAAATTTCATTAGCTACTTGACTGATATCATTGCAATTTTCATTAACTATTTGGGAATTATCATTGGAAATTTCATTAGCTGCCTTGGCAATATCATTGTGATTTTCATTAGCCTCTTAGGCTATATCATTGGGAATTTCATTAGGAACCTGGGCAATATCATTGCGATTTTCATTAGCTATTTGGGAATTATCATTGGAAATTTCATTAGCCTCTTGGGCAATATCATTGGAAATTTCATTAGGCATGTGGGCAATATCATTGTGATTTTCATTAGCTAACTAGGCAATATCATTGGAAATTTCATTAGGCACCTGGGCAATATCATTGCGATTTTCATTAGCTACTTGAGCAATATCTTTGGAAATTTCATTAGCTGCTTGGGCTATATCATTGTGATTTTTGGTCATCAGGAGGGTGGGTGGTCACATGACCTATTTCCAAAAATGGTCAAAAAGCGAAAATTGTAGCCCTGCACTGTAGCTTCCTGAACCTGTTGGAATTATGTTCTAACGTGCTCCCATTGTGGAGATATAACATAAAGTCTTTTTCTCATCACCGGCTTTTTTTGACCTTTTTGCATTTTTCTCCATGAGAACAACACCAAACAAAATGATTTTAACACATTTAGAAAGCTAAGAGAAAGGGCTACAATTCTTGTATCATGGGGAAAATGACCAAAAAAGGAAGGTGCATACCCTAACAGGTAAATTGACACTGACATATTATAAAAGATTGCAGGTAGACTACAAAAGTCAGTTATGGACTACAAAGTGTACTAGTAGACTACAAAGACCACAAAAAGTCAGACATGGACTACAAGCTTACTGATAGACTACAAAAGACTACAGAAGTTGGACTTAGACTACAAAGTTTACTAATAGACTACAAAAAGTCAGACATAG